TGCGCCGACAAGAGCCTAGCTCTTAAATTAAAGAATAAGAGATAATAAGACCATTACAATTGTGCTTTTACGGAATAAATGAGACGATTTGCAAAAGCAAAACTGCTTCGCATTGATTCATCACCTCCGAAGTACGTACTCAAAACCTGTTGTGTTGCAGTAGCCAACAGTTAACGGGATAAGTTTCGATTACGTCATGCAAAACTATCAACACTTATAATATGTGTTCCATTTGCACGAAAGATGAAAAATTTTAATAATCGAACGGATAGAAATTTTCATGAAAAGCTTGAGGACCTTGTAAACGTTATATAAGCTATTCAACGCTTTGTGGTGGACTATTTGTGGTGTTATTTAAGTACTACACTTATTTAAGTGACACACGGATAATCATCGCCTATTAGCGAATGGTGGGTTGACAAATGTAACTTGCCAAATAAAAAGTCTTAAGCCAATACGATCCCCGACCTCTGCAATCAGACTAAATTTTCTAGTATTGCTATAAAAAGCTTTTACGTTATTAACATTATCAACAGCTAAGGCCACCTTATTGCTTCATAAAGATATCGTAATAAATAAATACATAATGAAATACCAAGGGCATTTGGTTACGATCGATTAAGTTTGAAGACATTGTAACCGTATTCGACGCTATCGTTTTTTTAACAAAGCTAATGTTAAAATTAATTAAGGACAAGGTCACAGAAAGACCTACCCTTCCCGGCCCTGCTTATTCCTTTTTTAGGGTTACGACTTACGTACCCAAAGGGTAAAACGGGGCTCTATTACTAAGACTCCCCTGTCTGTCTGTCTGCTGTCCGTCTGTCACGAAGCTGTGTCTCATAAACTGAAAACAAATGATGCATTTATGTTGCCGCTATAACAACAAATACTGAAAAACGATAAAAAATATTTAAGTGGGGCTCACATACAAGACATATTTTATTGGCCTTTTTATAGGTAATGGTACAGTAGCCTGATGAGATTATTTGCCTATACGTACTATTGATAGGGCTACATGTATTTAACAACTATGGGGGCATGGGAAGCATTTTGTAGTGCGCAACAGCGAAAATTTCCCTTTCACCACATAATATCACTTTAACTATGCAAATCATTTAGCGACGGCGGAGTGTGACAATTAAAAGTGATAATTTGCGCGCCGTGATATTTAGAAAGTATACAACACTACGTGCATAATGAAATAAAACCATACGAGCATTGCAGTGGATTAAGAGTTTGAATTTTTAACACGCTTTTATTATTTTCACGTGTATTTTTGTATACTATTTTATTTTAACCAACTTCAAAACGTCAATCAAAATGTTTTTGTAACTTTGTTTTCACTTATATATCTGTGTACAATACAGAATAAAGAAACTGCTCTTGTATTCAAGAACGGAGGGACCTAGCGACTAAATTTAACGGTAAGATCCTAAAATTGACACTATTTTTTTTTCTTTAATTACTTTTATTCGTACAATGATTTTATTTTATACTTTTAAAGTCTATTAAACCGCGATTTTAATTTTTTTAACTATTACTTATGCATAGATCCTTCTAACATAGATAACCTTTGTAGGTTCTGGTTGCAATTCTCACTATCACATAAACATTAGCCGTTATGGTTGTCATTATGCGGTTGACTTTTTGCGGTTTTATAATGGTACGGAACGCTTCATGCGCGAGTCCGACTCGCACTTGGCCGGTTTTAAGTTTTTGATTTCGGCCCAGGAATATTTTACTATATTGATATTTAGACTATATTCACTACATACATATAGAAATTTACATTCTATTTACTATATTACCTCGCATTAGAAAAAAATATTAGGATTGCGTTCGGCGATTGCGGTGGTTGGTGGGAATAAAGATTTCTACTTTACCGACCCCGGTCTCCGATGGGAAGATACTGAAAATGAACTGGTTAAATAAGAAAAATCAAAAAAATATGATATTCACGAACGTCTATGTTATTAATAACTACATAGAAGCCGTCATGCGGCATAATGGAGGGAGATGGGCGTGATATGATTTAAATGTGTGCGTGAAGTATGTGCATAAATGGCTTACTTACTATGCTTCACTTTCGATAGACGCGGACTCATGTCAAGTCCGTGTCGTCGCCTATTAGTTTGATACATTTTTTTTCGCAATTTGTGTGAGTTAAGGGAAATGTTGTGGAAAACTGTTAACAGCACAGTATATGCACATTGTCGCCATTAACCAGTATTTATATAAGTGTGAGAATATATTTTATACGGAACGCCGGTGAAAGCAGACGCGAAACGATATTAAACAATCATAAAAGCACGTGTACCGTGCTGCCATCTTTGATTTACGCTTTGAATAAAACACGGGGGAGTCGCCCTTAAATCAAGAAATTTAATTTCCTCGCCGTTATTATTCCCGGAACGAAATTCAAAGTATTTTTATTGAGCTCCTGCGTTTTTTGAATATTTTAGTTACATCACAAACATTTAAAGATAATGTAACAAACAAATTACTCCATAAATTTTAGCAAGTATACTTATTAAAGATTAAAAATAACGCACTCAAATATATGAAATAATAACACTTGTTAGTTTTCACACTGACTTTAACTCACCGACTGTAATAAACACTTATTTTTGACATAACTTACGACTTTTCTATTGAAAATGTAACTAAATGCAGTATATGTAGGTAGGTTATATACGTACGTTCTTGGATGGCACAAAGAGTCAAATAATATTTAACTGGAACAAAGAATCTCCACGGAGAGGTCAATCTACCTAAGAAACAAACTACGATTACAAGTAATGTTTGATGAGCTAATTAATGCGATTTTATTACATTTTGGAATTTATAGAGAGACATTCTTAGGAGTCCACAGTATGGTGCGGTTTTATTTCAAGCAAAGTTTAGAAGAACGTTTCTTCTAAGATACGTTTCCTTTCGTCTAATATTTGGAGGATTATTTAAAAAAACCGGCCAAGTGCGAGTCGGACTCGCGCACGGAGGGTCCCGTACCATTATCTATAAAAACGGCCAAAAAATCATGTCAGTTGTATGGGAGCCCCACTTAATATTTTTTTTTAATTCTGTTTAATTAATAATAGAGCTGAAGTCTATTATTTTTGAAATTTGCAATTAAATAATATTTCGCAATGGACTTTTTTTTGTTTTTTTTTCAATCACGAAACATAACAGCAAAGCTCCATAGTCCCCTAAAAATCCCTAAGTCCCCAATTCCCTTAAATCCTCTATCAAGGTCGACGCGACGTAATGAAATTTCTATCAGACGCAGCTGTCAAAGAGACGGTCGAAAGGGAAACGGCGGCAAAGCGAACGCGCCGTTGTGATGTTTTTTTTTACTTTTCTGTTTCTGCGAAGCATCGGATCGCATAAATAACAGGCCGCTTAAATATTTATTTGGGATCGTCGTAAATGAAAAGCCGCGCCCGGTCACACTGCGAGCGCGGTGAAGGGGAACAGCTAACTTTCAGCGGGAGTTTTTCTCGCACGATCTCAAAATGGACGACAGAAGTGGACTTTCGCAACGCTCGGTGTTTGGGCAGGTTCTTAGCAAACAGTGGGAGGGAATTGGTACCCTGCGTTTGAATTCCAAACAAAAGACAACTTACAAAAATCGAAATAATTTATTCATCGAGTTTGTTATTCATCTATCAATAGTCACTTTTTAATCTGCCAACGTTTCGTAATAAGGTTCCTGTAATGGAGAAGAAACAGGCTAAAGCATCTTCTTTTTTGTCACGTTTACAGCTAAGACGCAATCCTGAAAGGCCCATGGAAACATCGCTATCATTGTTATTATTTTACTTCTAGAATACTAATCAATATACTGTACATGGTTGGTGATTTTATAAGTAAACTGCAAGGTCCGCCACTGAAACATAACAAACGTAAATAACTCGTAATTAACATCAATTATGATGGACTGTGGATGATAACCAGTTTGTAACTAACTGGTTTGAATTAGGTTGTATAAATTCATAAAGAAATAAATTAAAAACAGTAACGATATAAATAAAAATGTACTTCATTTTCAAATGTAAATAAAAAGAGCTTAATCGGTAGTCAAGAATCGCAACATCCGATTTGTTTGCGGTAATTTTGACGCGGGTAAATACCACGACGTCAGTGTACTTATCCGCATCAAAATTAGGGTCTCCCCGCCAAAAACGTGCGTTCATCTTAACAAAGCTTACTTTATTTCTTTGCTGTAAATTGTTTCATACTATTTAACCGACTTCAAAAAAAGAGGAGATACTCGATTCGACTGTATTTTTTTATGTTTCCTACCTCAGAACTGTCGTCTGAGAGAACCGATTTTGATGATTCCTTTTTTATTTGTAAGCTTCCCATGTCCCCATTAATTTCATTTTTCAAATCTTAGACTCCGAAGATACTTAGGGAACTCCTAAAAATTAATGCTTAATTATAAAATTAATACAGAGCGAGATTTTGATATTTGAAGTCGGTTTTGTTTTTTCGTTAATAAAAGTGGACTTGTTTAAACGACAGATTACTGCACGGAGCCGATGAAGATGCCATAAGCAAAATAAAAATATTATAAAAACACAATGGCATAAAATTGTTACTTATTAAGAGTACTTATAGTTGTTGTTATTAGTCTGTTTAGATGCTGTTCGCGTAAATAAAACCAATATTGTTCCAGTAAAAACTATAATATAGTTTTTTAGTAGTATTATATTTATATCTATTAATATAAGCGTGTTATAATAATTCGCAGTGATGTTCGTAAAATCACATATTCATTAGGAAATATCATAAGAATGGGATCATTATCGTAGCTCCTGTAAATTCTTGTTTGCTTTTGGTGTTGACGAAAGTTAATTTTCTCAGATTACAAGTCAACACTCGCGCCAACTTTGCTAGCTTTAAACACGTTAAAAGTAAAATATGCCTTTTAAATAAAAGTAAAATATCAAACCTTTTGCCACATGAGATTTTCGTCAAAGAAATAAACAACTTCAGACGCGGGAGAGCGTGGGTTGTGCTGATGGGGGACTACGTGACGTCAGCCTGTCGGAGTCAAAGTCTGAACAATGGGATAATAGACATCGGTGTGGATGGTGCCCGAGCCTTGAGTGACAAGGGCCGACGTCAGCTCACTTCTAACCGCCAAGGAATAGTAAGAATAATTATTCCTACATTTAATTATATTATGAAGTGTACGTTGAAAGATGATGTAAGGAAGGACGGTACGGAAATGCTATGTGCGACACGTGGAAGTAATGGATGAAGAAATGCTTTTTTTTATGCCAACTGGCCAGCGCTTGACTGCTATTCCATCTAGTGGTGAATGGCGATGCAGTCGTTGATGGTAAGCGCGCTAGCTCAGTAAAAACCTATTCTCTCTTGCCTAGAAGACCTACGTTATAATCGGACGTAAAGACGGACTCTGGCAGGTTGTTCCATTCCTTAACTTTCGGGTGATGAATCACGAAAACTCGTTTAAAAAGTGTTTTACATTTGAGGTTTTGCGATAACTAATCACTACATTAATCATTTGTTTTCTGTATCAAATAATGCATTATTATCTAACAGCTTTAGGGTGGATTGTAGATCACGCAACAAAACGATATATGTACGAACTTTAAGACCATAGACTTCTTCCTTAACACAGAGGCGGATGAGCAAAGAAGGCTACGATCTCTAACTCATTTATTTCGCTTCCACCACATCCATAGATGCTAGATGTGAAAAAAAATCGATTAACTAACATTTTTATCTATTGAACGTGAGATGTTAAAATCCGAATGGAATAATTTATCAGAGATTTCTTGAAAACCTCCCAAATGAAAACAATTATAAAATGCGGAAAAAAATATGGAACGAGCGTCGCTATAAAACTGTACTTAGCGTCTGCGTCGGATTAAAATGACTCAAGTCCAAATCCGGGATTGAAAAGTGCACAGACGACCGATTTCCAGACGCAAACATTTATAAATGGCAAAAAACAAAGGAATTACTCTTTTAAAATTAAGGAGAATTCGTTGGCAGCTGTTAGAGGGTTACTTTTAATGGGGGAAGAGGTAGAAATAAATTAACAAATACGAGAGATAACCATCTCAACGAACTCCAATCCCTAAAAACGACTTGGCCCTGTTAAGTGACTTTTTCTCGAAACAATTCCCAAAAAAGTAAAATCAACCGCAACCCGCGAGACAGTGGCCACTAGAAAACCAGAGCCCTATTACATTATTAAAATCATGACAGTAATAATAAAGTATGATCGCATATATAAGAAAAAAAATTAATAGCCTCTAGTTTTCTCTGGTCCAAACGTTTTTTTGACTAATGCCCTAAATAAAAAGAGAACTGAAAACTAGTTTACTTTCGTCATCTACTCACGGAACAAGGAAAATTCGTTTTATCTGCATTGAATCGGATGATTTAGGAAATTTTCTATCGAAATAACCACCCGTCTTTGCAAATAACAATAATTTAACTAACACTACTAACTAATGTGCCAGAAAGGCCTAGAAGAAATCCGGCAAGTCGAGAACCAATTCGAATCAGAAGACGAATATAAAACAATGTTTGAAGTTGAACTTTATGAAATTTAAAAAGTAAGAATTTCAGCTGAACATTATCCTCTTAAATTTTTCGTTTGTGGTGTTTTAGTAATTTTAATATAAATTGCTTCACAAAGTTAAGACGCTTAAAAACGACCGGGCTATTTCAATTTATGTATAATACTATTGATGTCGAGATATAAGTTTACCAGCTTTTCAATTTAAAGACCTGTAAAGTAACATAAAATAGGTTGGATTTTTAGCTCTGCTTATTTATGATGATTACTTTTATACATTATTATATTCATATTAATTTTCCAATGTTATTAGTATTTCAAAATATCTAGCTAGGGCTCGCGATGTGAAAACTTAACGTACCATTGCAAAATAACTCATGATGTGAAGCCTCGTTGTCTGCACGAGCACAGTTGTAAATATTGTCTTTATTACTCCTATTAATATCCGGATCAACAAAGTTTTTTATAGTAACACCGCTTATCTAATCAGCGAAGTTATTTTGTTTGCTTTAGTTGCCTAAAACTGTCAACGCATATTGTTTTATTACAAAAATTAGCCTTAGGTATTTTCGGCGTAAAAATGATACCCATGCTAATACCACAGTCTATAAACAATCAAATATTATTGCAACGATTGTGCACTACTAATATATAGTCCGCGTATATTTTTTTCTGCGGAATGTTATATAATAGGATTTTTCATTAAACATTTGGTGATAAAATCACAAAAACAACCCTCCCCACGTCATATTGTTAATACTCCAGATTAACTTAAACTGTTCAGTCTATAGACTTCGACCATAAAGAAAGAGAAAATAACCGTCTGCTTTCGTTGTTCAGAAAAAACACCAAGAAAAGCAACTCCTAATACACATAAAGAAGCAATAAACCACGACTTACCTGTCATCGCCCATTTGCTTCAACTCGCTCAGCTCTAGTTCACGCCGCAAGTTGGACACCTCGCATAGGAGCATGTCCCTCTCCGCCGACACCTTCTCCAGCTCGGCGCGAAGCCTGACCACCTCGTTGGTGAGGTCCATCGTCGCCATCTCTACTATCGATATACGCTTCCGACACTTGACATCACTATTCACGGGCGCGGCACGCACGCGGCGCACAGGACATGAGACGCGCTTCTCAATTCCCCATTATGAGGCCAACACTCACGCGAGAGTAGTGTTGGGCGTTATCGATAATTTCACTATGCCGACTTCACGCTCACGCTACATGGTTGGAATCTGAAACAATAAATCACAGCATTAGTATCGGAGCGAAAAAGAGAATATAGTCATCGCAGTCAGTACGAGAATTTCGTGTATTTTCTCATAAAACATTTCTTCGGGGAGCACATAATATGTAAGCTCAAAGTATGAGAGCTTCATATCGCAGAATGAATAACTGAAATTATTCTTCGTACATAAATGAGACAGACTAGTAATTGAGTCTCGACATCTTGGTACAAACAAGTATACATGCGCATAATGTGATGCTATTATTATCCTTTTTGTTATAAGTCGTACTGTTTATCAAAATGAATATCTTTGGCGACTTTTGAGCTTCGCTAGATAGATAGAAATAGCATATAAAAGAGAAAGACAGTTTTTATTTTTTTTAAATGTTGCCCTTACTATAGGATAACATTATCCTGTGTTGTAAGGACGTTTTACAAAAATAAATTTCACGTGGACGAACACCCAGATACGAAACAACTATCTATGGCTCACCCAAATAGTAGTCCCGTGTGAGAATCGAAACCACGTCCCCCGACGCCGAAGCCAGTACCTTGGAGACTGCGGCACGGAGTCATCCCTAGTGAACCTTGTTAGCGTTTACCGTATAACTTTAAAATGCACGTAAGTTTACTCACGTCTAACTACAGTGTAATCGAATAGTAAAATTTAAAAATTTCTTTATTAAATGCCGGCTTGTTATGAACCTAAAAAAAACATTCTCTTATAAATATAAAAAAACAGCAAACGCTTTACAAATACATATAGGCTTTTATACATATACGATTGCTGTTTTCTTTCCCAACAGATTTTCTAAGAAAAAAGGCAAAATAATCCCTGTGGACCAACGCGACCTGGTGATCGATTGAGTATTTGATTGAGGTATACATTCTTATAATGTCGTTTTTCGGGGCACATGTTATTTGCAGCTTGTTCATATAAACTAATAGTCAAAGTAAGCCTGCAATATTATCTGGTTTTCCGTTAACAGTTTTTTTTTATGTGACAAAGTGGCAAACGAGCTGGCGGTTCACCTGATGTTAAGTGATAACTGCTGCCCGGGGACATTTGCAACACCCGAAAAGTTGCAGAAGCGTTGCCACCTTTAAATAAAGTGGGTCCCGGCTACCACACTAACCAGACGAAACGCAGAAGTGTAACACTTCAACTTTACGCCGATCTCCTTTGAGGTCGTAGTACTTACCCGGACGGACCGATCCATTCGTGCAACAGTCAACACCAATGCGTGGCCCTACCACAGTAGATTCCTACGGGGGACAAGTATTTATTGGTCCCGAAAAAACCTTTTCAATGCCATTGACAACAGGATTCACGTGTTGTTCCGACTCTACCTAAGTAGAATAAGAGCAAGAGAAAGAAGAGCCCTATTAAAATATACCTACACGTTCAACTCGGAAATGTTTATGCATTTTGATTTGATTTGGCCAGTTGCTAAGCGACGTTGGGTCGTGGGTTCGATCCCCACGTGGAGGTATTTGTTAAACCTACAGATAACTGTTTTGGAACTGACAGCTGTGTTTGTTAAATGTTTATATATCTTATCCTATTGTATGAGAGTGACGTGAAAACAACAAAAACATTTTTTAACATCCAATAAGGAATACGATAACGAATAGATTTGAATATTCAACGTTAGGCACGTACAATTAACTGTTACTAAGTATCACGCTACTTTAAAATAGCAAATAGATTATTCCACGCAAATAAAACGAAATCATCGGTCACCGGTTAGAGTACTTCCTCGTTGTTTTGTTATCCTCTTAACTGAAAGACGGACAATTTAACCGAGACAATGGCGGGCGGAAAACGTCGCGTGATTCATTACACTGATGGCTTCTTCAACGCCTTTTAACCACGAAATATCATGTGTTTCGTGTGACGAAAGTATATAATACGAAAATATTTGTCACTGTTATGTGTAATTTGTCACGACAGTTATGTTTCAGTATCAGGAGTAGCGTGGTCGGTGGACGTTTCGACTCGGAGTGTTTGTTTCATTAAATTAAAGTGATAATTGACATTTTTTACATTTGGTCGACTCAAAATGTCGGTATTATAAAGGTATGAAGGTTATACATACATTATAAAAGGTACTACTAATACTATCGCGTTTTATTTCAACACTTCATCTCAATCATATTTTGACAGAGAAACGGAAATACAGAAGACATTGTGAACAACAGTCCATGTATATATAAAAAAAGCGATTCTACATACGAACAAAATGATCACAGGGTTTCAAAGAGGTCATAACGTTTTTACTTTCAATGACTACGTGGATAAGTGATGTTCATTTTATGAGAGAAAAAGTGGCCGCTTAGACCTGATGATAACGCCAACATTTAGGAGGCGGGTACCGGTTACTCACTCCGGCTAAGTTCCTCAACAGCAGTAGTTAGTGTCAAACTCTGTTTCTACGTAATGTTTAAATCCTACTTATAAAATAAGTTACACGCACTTTCAATATTAAAATTATAAAATCCACAAATAATCAACCGTTCGGCGGTTGACAAGAGTTTTCCAGTAACGGCGCTCGCCAGCGCATTTTCCGGAATCTCTGCCGCCTTTCATCGGAAACATTACACCAATATATGTACGTATAAGGATTGAGTCCATTTCGTATATACGTTCATATGTATCGTACATATGTTCCAATGTAAACTGCACTGCGGATAGATTACACAGTAATCTAATCTATGCTTTAGAGCGTACCGGCGTTATATTACTGTCGGGACGAGTTTCAAATTCGGGTAGTACCTTGATATCGAGTTAACCTTCATTTTAAGTGACGCAGCGGTATCCATACACGTTAAGTATATTAAGAATATAACAGGTGGGTCACTGTTATATTCTTACTTTATATCAACACAAAATTAAATATAAAGTTGAGGGCCAGTTTTGCCACAGAGGGCGAACAAAAACTAGGTGGCAGATGTGGTCGGACAAGATCTACGTCCTGCAACGTTACCGAAGATGACGCGTCGGATAAAACGAAGTGGAAGTGGAAGTGTGAGACCAGAAAGGCAGACTTATTGCACAGGAGAGAGGATAGAGAGAGGATACTAGGAGAGAGAGAGAGAGAGCGCCAGTTTTACCACATCTAATAATTACAAAATAATTAAATGACTAATTAATAAATTTTCTTATTCAGCTGCTATATCAACACTCCTCTTCAGGTTCGTTAACTTCGTAAAAGACTAATAATTTTCTCATAAGATCAAAATAGGTAGGTATAGACTTAGTTTCGCAAGACTGAATTATTTAATTCCAATCGCAAAATTGCAGCAAAAAGTATCAGGTTGTATTTAGATTGTACAGAGTGAACACTATTTTCAAAATAGTAATGCCACCGAATTGCCGTATAAGCAATGTAATAAACTACAGATTTGAAAGAATGAACGGCCAATCCATACATTTTTAATTATTACGTTCGTTTCATTCGTTCCGGCACTCGCAGACGTATAGGTACTAGGTTCCGCCAGGTACCTGGCAGAGGTAGTAAACGATAGCTTTAGAATTTATCCTAGTCAGATTACAGCTACCGATGGAGCCGGGGTCCGGCCCGGATCTCTGACGCTCTCGAAACTTTTTAAATCTGCACCAGATTTATATCGGCATGATACTGTTTGGGCTTTTCTCTAAGTAAATCATAACTTACAATCTTAATTCTAAAATCATAACCATAACGGTTCCTCCTATACGAAAGACATGAACGCGACAAATTGATTCCCAATAAGCTTCCATAAAGCCAGCACGCCGCTTTAGTTTCCTTCTTATCCCCGAAGTTTCACTTTGGTATCAATTTACTTTAAGAAGTCACTAAAAGTAGATTTTCAGTTACCAGGATCCCAGAAATAAGAAACGCAATGCGGTTGTATACGAATATACCAGAAACTTCCAAGGACATAGTTACAGACTGGAACTGAATAGTTACATTGATCTATCATACCGTAACAAGCCTTCGTAGCCGACGCTCTGCTAGCGAGATTGAACGTTAACACTATCGTAATAAAGACTCGTTTACCGTGGCCGGACCGTTACGTCGCGTTAATAAAATAATCAAATTATCAGACGGCGCCGGGTAACGCTATTCGGTGGGGGTGTTGCTTATGGGGATAACGACTTTAAGAGCTAAAACGTTGTTAACCAATAAAGGTTTAGTTTGCGATGGAGGGATTTGATGTGTTTGATATTGATACATATATTTTAGTGGGCTTATTTTGTTACGAAAGAAACCTTTCGTGCCCTTTACCTAGGCCCTAGTTCTAACTGATAATATACTTCGTTTACAAATATAAAGATATTTGTTTTGTAATTTAACTTTTATAATTTAATAACTTAATTCCACAATTTAATTTAACTTTTTCTAGCATTTTAGTATCAAAATATTTGTCGACATCAGTCCCAAGACTGAAAATGTACCTACTAAAATTTATACCATATAAAATGAATAAATAAAAATCTAAGACAATAAGTAATTAAATATTTTATATAATTAAGGCCGATGAGGGCTTAATTGAAGGTTGTGTTGTTCACTGTACAAGGTAATTATCTATGTTAATTTAACGATAATATTATATATACTACGGTGTAATTCCATCTTGCTAGCTGAATTACATCAATAAAAAAAGATCATTTAAAATCTCGTGGCTCCATCTATTAATGATCGATGGTAACAACCATGCGTGTGAAATGTTGACGCGCAACCATATTGGCTTTTATAAATGCGTTCCAACAGATGGCGTTGATAGACGCGGAGAGATCGAAATTGCGAACTAACAGGGACAATTAACACACGA